GGCGCCGGCGTCGGGTGTGCTGGGGGCGGAGGCGGGGCCAGGGGCTGGGGCTGGGATGCCGCCGGCACGGCGCCAGCTGGCGGCGCTCGCGGGGCCGCTGTCGCCCAAGGTGCCGCGGGACCAACGGCAGGCTGCAACGGCAACAAGCGGCAGCGGCGGCGCCGGCGGCAGCGGCAGCGGCAGCGACGGCGCCATCGCGGCGGCCGGCAGCGCCAGGGCTGCGGCGGGGCGGCAGCTGCGGGGGATGCTCCAGAAGCTGCTGTCGCCGGCCGGCTTGAGGCGGGGCGGCGGCCGCGGTGACGCGGGCGGCGCCGCTGCTGCTGCTGCGGCGGCGGCGGCAGCAGCGGCGGCTCCTGGTGACGATGACAGGATTCTTGCAGGCGACGATCAGCTGGGTGTGGTTTGATATGGTCAGATGACGGTTACAGCTTGTGTTAGGCGGCGGTCATTGGTCCAATCCGCCTGTGTTCGGGTGCGCCTGGGCAGGCCGCGCCCAGCTGACACCAGGGTTGCCTGGGTGGCACATGTGGGTTAGGGGTTGACCAGAGCTGTTGTGGGCAAAGCCGACCAGGTCGAACGCATTGTTGCTAGGTAGTGGTGTCGTATCTCTCTTCGTCATATTCCTGCACACGGCGCTCTAGATGAGCCCTGAAAACACAGGTGCACCTATCACCGCTGCATTGACTGCCGATCGCGACGGAGGGCGCCTATCAAAATACATCACGTACAATCAACTCGTGACATTGTAACTGGTAGCAGTTCCTAGTGCACCCCAGCATAGGGCATGCCCATCACTTAACTGGGTCTGTGGTCAGGGGTAGACAGCTGCAGGGTGCAACATGGGACTGCCCACAATGCCCGGGGGCGGCCCCCCTCTGTCCACCCCTCCTGCACACACCGGGGCCCTTGGTGCCTGTATATGCCATGGGGCCGTACCTCGGCAGGGGCAATGTCCTGCCAGTACGTCATTAATTGTCTGCCAGGCAGTTGGGTGCCCCATTGCAGCGCATTCCTGGCCTGCGCGCCCGCTGCATGCTGCTGGTAAGCGGCATGGGGCGGCGCTTGCCGCTTTGCGCCTTGCCTCCGGACAGCCTCTACCATACTAAAAAAAGTATTGCAAAATCATTGAGGTGCGTCCCTACGCAGGAATCAATACAAGGGGGCTCTCCTTCAGGATTCTCGAAATGCAGGCACCCCAGTTTTTTCGCTGCTCGACCGCCCGATGTGCACCCCCCACTGTACGGGCGCAGCGAATGCGGCGCGCCCGACGTGCGGTCCTTAGCAGGTTGGGAGGGACACATTTGTCGCAATTTATGCGAGTATTATTGTGATTAAACGCGTGCTTTGTGTCATCGACACGGGGCTCCGCGCGGCGAAGCTCCGAGCTGCTCGGTCGTGCCCTCCGCGCCTGTCACCAGCACGCAATCGACTAAGTGTTTATGGCTAGCATCAATGCGATGCCCAGCCGCACACGCGCCCGCGCACGCCGACGCGGTGCTGCTTTGTCGCGTTCCGGCGTTGCGAGCAGCTGCAGCTGGGGTGCTACCATAGCGCTTTGAAGATTGCCAAGGAGATTCCCCTCGTGTCAGATCCGGCCCAGGATCGCATTTTGACCATATACAGCACCTTGGTTGATACCGTGGATTACGTTTGTGCAGATGAGGTGCCTGCGCGATCGCTTGGACGGGCGGATGCATCTTGCTTTTTCCGAAAAGCTTTGCGGCTGTCCGCCCTCTCTGTCGACGCAGCGATGGGCAGCGCGCTGGCGCACAACAGGCGGGCGCGATCGCCCTTGCAGCTTGGCGGCGGTCCGCCCTGTGTGCCAGCGTTGGCTGGTTACGCTGATGTGCCGGCCGCCGTAGCAACGGATCCGTGTACAGTGCTGTCTCAAAGGGACATGCATCAAAGCTGTGGCGCCAACAAATGTGTGCCGCGTTTGTCATCCATGTGGCAGATTGACAATCTCGGCTCCGTGCTCCGCTACCCCTTGAACCCCTGGAACCGTCAGGTGTACCCAAGGGCAAGCCAAGCCGAGTTGGTGCGGTCTAGGAGAAAGACAATGGCAGAGTAGCTGTAGAGGAGTCCAGCGCCAGCCTGCCGCCGTGAGCACATTGTCCGGTCTGCGTGGGACGGGCTGCTGCCGCGGGGCTGGGCCGGCGGGGTAGGGGCAGCAGGCGACCGGGCAGTAGGACGCTACGGGCAGTCTGCCGTGCTGGGTGAACACAGATCCAGCAGGATCGCGCCGCGGCCTTGCCCTGCACAGTCGTTGGGCGCGGCCGGCAGCAGCAGCATGTGAGTGTGAGCACAGTTGGCCAACCGTCAGCCCAACCGGTCCCTATTATAAAAACATGCAGGCAGAGGGAAGGGCCAAAGCCCAGATCAAATGCATGGCACGCTTGCCGTTCCATCGGAAGGCTGTCCAGCAGCACACCGCCATTCACACCCAGGCACAGTTACAGTACTGGACAAGTGTGCACTCTTCCGCCCACCCCGTCCCAAGCCCTGGCACGCTGCCGGCTGGACACCAAAAGCAGCCCCTGCTCAATTTTCAGGTGATTGCAGGCAGCGGCTTGCAAACGTTGCAAGCACAAGCTAGCGAACACACTGTTGGCAGTGCGACTCAGCGCTGACACACGTCTGAAGCCCTGCAGGCAGCCATGCAGCTTTGACACGGTTCTCAACCCGACCTTGACGCTTGTAAAGATGTGATGCACGCTGATTTGCAGCCCTACATCAGCAGTGCAGCCCCCTTGGAAGCTTTTCACACCTGTACTGGGCGGAAGCAAACCCACAACAGCTTTAAATCGTGGGAAGCAGGTAAGGCTAAGCCTGCTGCACATTCACTAGTAGATTGCAGGGGAGCCAGGCCCTAGCAACTCGAGTCTCAACTGCAGCGCCCCAGGTAACTGACATCCCTGATCCCAGCATCACCTCACTAGGGCAGCTGTTGGCATTACACACGAATGACAGCACAGGTGCCTAACTCAAGGTTTGTGCGCGGGGCGTTTTTGAAGCACGGTTCAGTAATCCCCTTGCGTCAACACCTTGTGCATACAAATGGCAACTCAAGGGCAAGCAAGCAAGCCTGTTTTGCAGTGCAGGAAAATGCGGCTTCGCGTGCTGACAAGCCAAGTTTCACCAGCAATACTGGCGGCGCGCACCATCCTCGCAGAACGCGTACTCCTCATGTCCAGACGGCTGCACTCTATACAGTGCCAGCGGCTTCACTGCACACAAGATAGCTGGACAGCAGCTAGCTGCACAATTGTCAAGATACAAGCGGGTTTATGACCAAAGGAAGGAACGCACGACAACTATCCTCCCAGGCCCTCCCCAGAAGCGCCCTCAGGATTGAAATTTGTCCCAGGCAAGACCTCCCCCAGAAGCCTGGGCCCAACCAAAACACGATTTGGCACAATCAAGTGGACCCTGCCTGAATCAAGGCTGCACAACGCACACACCTTTGCTGATGTACAATACCAGGCTGCCGCACAACATGAGAACATGCCTGACTGGGCATGTCCTCAGAAATGAAGGGGGGAGTACCCCTCTCCTCCTGAAAGTCCTGTGCATCATCTCCCTAGTTCAGCCGCGGGTCGCCGGCGCCCTCAGCAGCCTCCTCCGCACGCCCCTCTCCGGCCAAGTACGCGTCAGCGGCGGCAGTCTCATCTGCGGGGGCGGGCGCGCCGCCGCGCTTGACGAAGGAGAGCGCCTTGGTGGCGGACGCGAGGTACTTGGTGCGCGGCTGCAGGCCGACCGAATCCATGAGGCCGCCAATGTCGCAGGCGATGTAGTTCCTGTGATACAGGTTGTGTCAGGTCAGGATTGCATTATTGATTAAGGATGAGATTGTCGTGAACAGGCTGGGTGATTGTATGCAGGGATGTGTTGAACTGCAATGGAGGAGGCGGTTGGGCGCCAAAGGTGGCAAAGGGGTAGCGACAAGCAGTGCGCTGTCGAGGCATGCAATGCAAGCGCTGTCAGTTAATGTGCACATGTTGCCAACCCCCTTTCCAAACTCCAACAGAACAAAACATGCTGGCATGATGGTACAGCCCGGATTCATGAAGGTGCAGCCAGGATTCAAAGAGGTGCAGCCAGGATTCAGTGTTGAATTTTGTCTGTGTAAACACGGACGTATGGTGGCACCTGTAGTGAGGCTCGTTGAAGTTGCCAAACGACCCGAGGGTGGGATCCCAGGCCGGCCTGTCCCCCAGCTGGCATGAGTCAGCCAGCACCACCAGGCCGCCCGGCCGCAGCACGCGCGCCCACTCCTTGGCGCACGCGATGCGCGCCTGCGTCGCAGCGAGCGGAGGTGGGAGGATTCCATTGGTTAAGACGGCGTACGCAAGGGGTGGCAGCAGGGGGCGGACAGCCAGTGCGGGCGCAAGAACAGCAACGCTGGCTGACCAAAACTCCGAAAAGCCTCCAGTCTGCGAATGCCGGCTGTCACTGTGACCGTGGTCAAACGCCCAGCGCAGCGATCAGCAGAGCCCCTCACCTCCTCGGGCAGCTCGTGGAATAGGTACACGCAAACCACCTGCGGCGGGTTGTCATTTGTGCACAACAGCAGCGGCTTGTAAGGGCGGGACTTTGCAGCACACCAGCATTGCGCCTAGATGATACCCTGCCTGGCCGCTTGTGCTGAAAGGTGTGATGACATGCACGCTCATTGCCAGGCTATGTAAACAACCCTGTAGTTGGCAAGCCTTGGTTTCAAGCCCTCTTGCCCCCCAACAAGCCCGCAGCGCACCACATCGAAGCTCTCGTCCGGGGCGGGGACGCTCTCCGCAGCGCACTGCATGAAGGTGGTGCCCGCGCCGGCAAGGTCCGTGCCCAACAGGTCGCCCGACTGGCGCTGGCGCTTCCAGTAAGCTACGTTCTTGCGCGCGGCGTCCAGGTAGAAGGGGCTCAGGTCAGAGGCGACAGTCTGCATGGCCGGAGGGTGGAGGGAGGGTGGGGGTGCGTTGGTTGCGGTTCAGGTTGCTCGGAAGGCGCGCAGATTTTGGGGGGGCCTGCGAGCTGCAGATGTGCTTGTGAGTCCACCAGTCCCACGCGGCTGCAGAATGGAGGCTGCACAGGGCCAAGGGTTTTGGCGCTTCGTCGTTGACATTCGACCAATCCAGGTCCATGTTAAACAAAGTGAGTGTAGCCCTGTGCGTGACAGGTAACCTGGAAAAAGGACGCTGCAACCCTCACATATCCATCCCCAAAGGATTGCAAGATGCACGATTCCGCCTGCAAGACACCCAAGCAGCCGCTTGCCCGCTGGTGCACAGTCAAACGGCAGCAGTGGACCCGGGCTGCCCCTCATCCCACCTGCATCTCAGGGTAGTTGTCCTTGATGAAGGTGTGGAAGCGTCCGGTGCCGCACGCCACCTCCAGCAGGCGCATGGAGGAGGGATCCCTGGATGTGAATATTCGAGTGAAGTTTTTTTCCAAGGAGGGGTTTCAAGGATGGGTAAGCAACTTCATGGACTTCAAGGTTGCAGTTGGAAAAAGGCGCCATTGACAGCCTGGTTCCCTGGACTCACGCGCGACAGAGGTGCCAATGCGGCGGCTGTAGTGCAGGCCAGAGTCACGCAGATGGAAAGGTGCAGCACGGCGCGTCGGCAGCAGCAACAAGCGTACAGCCGCACCTGCCGGTCTCCGCCAGCCACTCGTGCATGGCGAGCAGCACGGTGCGCTGCATGGCATCCTGGCGGCCGAAGAAGAGGCTCTCGGTGGAGAACTCGTACACATTAGCCGACCTGGCCCCAGGGCGACACACAGGGTGGTGCGGGCGGCATGGGTCAGGTGGGAGAGGGCTCACGATGTGGCGTGAGCGGATGGGGCTTGAAAGAAGGGCCGTGTAACATTTTGCGTGGGGGCCGATGCAGGTTTCAGGGTGCTGTTTGGTTGAGTTCCATCCAGCCAAAGAGTGTGGCAGGATCTGCATGCTGAAGAGATTCTGGCCGCACGGGCAAGACAATCAGCACCGTGCACTGCTATGGCCGAACAACAAGTTGCATGTAACGATCTATGGATAATGGAGGAGGTGGTTCACACCTGGATGACAGCCAGCCGTCTGTCTGGTAGTGGTAAGTGTTGTCCATGTAGTACTAATGATGACATCATGATGTGATCACGATTGACAGGGAGGAGGGGAGGAGGCGAAGGTCAGCTGAGGCGAGAGAGGTCAGCTCCAACGGCGGGTCGCAACTGCTGATCACCATGCCCGACTCCCCAGATGCATAGGCACAGGCACGGCCCGTGAGTGAGAGGATAGAGCTATCGTAATTGACGAGCTGCATTCCGTCAGCGCCCACCTTGGGGTACATGCTGGAGCTGAACCAGTTTGAGGCGTCCGCCTGTGCAATGCGGCGGTTGAGGGTGCCGATGGCCTCTCCAACAAAGCTTGTCGCCCTGGAGGGTGATTTGGTTGGTTGGTTGGTTGGTTGGTTGGTTGGTGGGTGGGTTGGTTGGTTGGTCAGTCAATTAGAGAGCAGACGCAGTGGAGGCACAGTTGAGTGCATGTAAAGTATTTGTCAGCTGATTGGTCGGAGGACACAAGGGTGGTCGCATGGTTAGGAGCGTCTGAAGTGTGTGATGGCCGAGGAAGCTGATTATCCAATCGTCAGCACTTGAGTGATGTGGATTTTTAAGCGTGCAACTGACGCGTGCGTTGATCAGCCGGCTGCACCCCAGACTCACTTGCTGGCCACATAAAGGGGGTTGAACTGGCGGTGTGTGGGGGTAGTCATGTCCCAGGGCAGCTTGTACGCGCCAGCCTTGATGGCGGCCAAATCCTGGAATGCGTGGTGCGACGTCGGTGCTTTGAGCAAGAATGAGGTTTTACCAGCAGTTACATTGGGTGCTGGGTTCAGATAATAAAGCAGCGGCTGCGAAGACTTCTGCACTGGGGACACGGGCAGGCAGGGCTCTCCTTGCACATCCCCCGAATTCGTGCGACGCAACACCCACGGGCGTGTTCACGCGCGTGCAAATGTGCGTGCGCACGAGTGCAGTGCCTGAGATGAATCATAATCAGCCAAGCCAGACCACGGGCGCATGTCAGAACCTCCAAAACTGATTGAGCAATCCACACACAAGAAAGAGAGTCAAACCTCCCGCAGGAGGTTTGATCTGTGGGGCCTCACCTGCTGGAACATGGCGACGCCCTCGTACAGGCGGTTTGTAAGCTCCGCCTGCGCGTTGGCGCTCAGGTTCTGGAACGGCGTGCGGCGGCCGCCGCCCGAGAGCTGCTCAGACAGGTGGTGTGCGAGGGCGCCCGCAGCGCTCTATGGGTGGGAGGAGCGAGGGGGCGTGGGGGTGAGGGCAGCAGTCTGAAGTGTACTTCAGATTCAGTGAGCGATGCAAAACGATGGACAAACACGCTAGTTTCCAACTGAACGAGGTGCTCTACCAGACCCCACTCCAGTGGTGAGTGGAGAGTGTCAAAAAGTGCATGTGGTGTCAGCTGTCTGCCAACCTTTACGACAAGGCATACAATAACATGTGGCGAGCACGTCACTACACCAGCCACGCACCGTGGTGAGGAAGAAGCCGGTGCGGCCCACGTGGTAGGCCCAGTAGGCGGCGGACTCAGCATCCGCCAGTGCTGATGACGTCAGCAGGTTCAGGGCGGTCTCACCTGTGGAAGCCGGCGCGCGGCGGCTGCAAAAGAAGTGCAGGGAGATTTCATGATTCAGCATGGCGATGCTGTGTTTTTCTGACTCAAGAGTGTACATGTGCGTGCACACGCGTGTGCGGGCATGTGCATGTGTGTGTGTGTTTGTGTGACCCAGCCTGGAGCCGAGGGAGCATTCACGGCCACGTAGCCACAACCAGGGGCCACAAGTCACGCCTGCACCGCTCCACGACAGTGTTGACAGACCAACCAAGGCCCCCACGTGTGCTCCGCACCTGTCCTCGGCGCCCGTGCCCATGGAGCGCACGTCCATGTTGGTGCCATACGTCCGCCAGAACGGCACAGATGAGTGCAGCTGGAAGCGCTCTGCGTCGGCCTCTGCAACATTGTCAACCTGCAAAGTGTGGCGAAGGTGACACGACAAGCATGGACGGGGGATGCGGCGCGCGGGTCGTTGGTCTGTGCGAAGGTCGTCAACCAACAGCGTTTTCCAGGGCGTCCGGTTTCTTTTCAGGAGCTGTCAGCGGATGGTGACCGCGTACGCTGTGCTGGGGCGCATGGAGCTTGCAGAAACTCAAAACAACAGCGCATGCACATGCTGCGTCAGCGCAGCCGTCCATCAAGACCCGGGTTCCGAGGCGTTTCCCCGCAATCACTCTTGAAGGCCGGGCCCCCAGCCACCTGCCACCGCGGCGGCCCTGCTGCGCACCGTATAACGGGTCTCTGGCGAAAAGTTAATGGGCCGCCTGCGCAGCTCCGCGTACGAGGAGGGCGCCGCCGCCGCAGTGGTGCTGGTCGAGTCCTCGCCCAGGGTGAACTTGGAGCCCGCCGGGCTGCCTGCGGCAGGTGGCGATGAGCCCGTGCTCGATGTCATTTTTGACATTCAACATCATCTTTGCAATTTTGTCTTCGAAAGAGTGCCTTTGCTACGTCCTTGACAGGTATCAAGTCTGCTTCACAGGTCTTCAGTCGGCACTGCATGCGGTTGCCGGGGCTGTTTCGGCGAATGCGCCGTAGGTGCCGCCCCCCTGCACTACCACACACTGCGCCCAGCGGCCGGCGGCACAACGCTTGTGCGGCGGCTCGCTGGGCTGCGCGGAGGAGACTGCAACAAAGATCCCGATCAGGCCGGGCAGTCGCCACCCACCTTCTGAGGCCTCGGTTGTCGCCACCTGCACCTCTGCCGCGGGGCGGGGCTGAACGTGCACACGCCGTGTGCCGGCCACGCGAGCAGCGGTCGGGGCCGCGCGCCGCAGGCAGCGGGCGGGGAAGCCGCAGGCAACGCCGCGGGCAATCATGCCTGCGAGAGGGAGCCGACAGACATGCAGGCACACATCTGAGTGAGGCGTCGCTAAACTCGAAACGTCACCCTGTCGCCACCAGGCACCCGCCGAGGTCCCCCAGCGCCACAGCCGCGTGCGCAGCCTTCCGTTGACAGCGCTTGGCTTTCAAAGAACGTTGAATCGTTCTTTTACTGCTCATGCAACCTGACCTTTCGTGACGCAGTACGCTGTGTGTGGTTCACGCAACGCAGGCAGTGATTGCTGCCCCTGAGGCGTCCGCAAGGTTTGCATTAAACACCTCAAACTACCTTTGTTGGTGCAATCAGCCATCTGAAACGGGCTCACGTCGGGCACTGCGTTTTTGTGAACCTTCCTTGACGATTACGAGCGCCCCTCTGAAGATGAGCAAAGAGCTTTGAGCATGCGAGTGGTGATTGTTGCATACTATGGTCGACTTGTCCAGCCCGGCATTTGTGCGACGCCGTCCTGCCCGCATTCGCGGCACGCAGCAAGTGCCCTGACGTCACATTCATGCCCGCCACCTGGCGACTGCCTCGGCAAAGGCGGGTGACTGTGAAGCCACCTAGTTGGGTATATATTGCGGATAAAAGTGGCTGGAGCGCTCGGCCAACTAGTCATCTGTTGCCGGCGTGGGGCGTGTGACATGTCCGAGGTTGGCGAGTGGCCCTCAACAAGTGAGGAACGTGCTGCAGCTGCCTCCGCACAGCAGTTGCCTCGCTGGCCTGCACCAAAAGCTGGAACCTTGCTTTGAGTGTGTGCTGAGGGCTGCTGAATGAGGGGCGAAGTCTACTGCGCTTTAGTTTGGGTCCTGCACGCCAGCAATCTTTGGTATCATGCGTGCGGTTGCCTGGCTTGGGAACAATCAGGTGCCGTGCAAAAGGGGCCCGTATCGCCTTACACATTAATCAGTTGCCGGTCCAGCAGCTGCTTTTAAACGGCTTGGCTGTCAACACATGTGTTTGTGGATAACCAAGCGTGATGTGGGCTGTCCCGTCACATTTTTGAGGCCCACAACTGTGTTGACCTGCATGTGTCTACCGCCAGTGTCTGGGTGGTGAAAGTAATCAAGCGCGGCAGCGTCTATGCTGCGGTACTTCCCGGCGGAGCTTGTCTTGCTCTGCCTGTTTGCTATCAAGGGTGGCCTGGGTACATCACCATGCGGACATTCAGCCCACGGGGAGTGCAGGGCCCCACACAGCCCACTCGCAAACATTTTCGGAATCAGCGCAGTTCCTCTACTCTTGCCGTTCAGGCTACGGCACCATAGGTGTGTCCCTAATGTCCAACCGCCGTAGCTGCCCCTGCTGAACGTCCGCTAGCTCGGCACTCGGCACTTCAAAAGACAACTACATACTGTACCCCTTCTCGGCTGTGACACTCTGCCGATCTTGCCACGGGTGATCTGAAGAATCAGCGGGGCTATTGACTAGCAAGCACAGGCGCACTTCAAGAATGGAGGATGCTTCACGTGAAGATGCGGTGGTGAGCACAGGCCAGTGGGTCAGTACGGTCGGTCGGCAGCAGCGCACGTGCTGCAGCTGACGCTTGCCTGACAAAGTGCAGCGGCCATGCAGCCGTGTGCCCCACAAGCCCCCGCTCACCGCTCGCATGCAACCCCAGTATGACTATGGGGAGGACGACGATGGAGACGTGCGTAAGGAGGGAGGCAGGAGCAGCTGGCACGCAACTTGGCGCCTGGGGGCTTGGATGTCATGGAATTCAGCTTGCACCGCAGCGCCCCCGCCAGTGCCTGAGCCCGTCTGCCGGCATCCATCTGCATGATAAACGTGCTGATGACTACAAACAACCGCTGCAGCGTGCGCTGCACTAGGGACTTTGTCTCCTTTGAACACCCTGCCGTATCATCCCAGTTGCACTCACACAATTGCTTGTGCACAGGCCTTTGACGCAGGCGGTGGCGGTGCAGGCGGCGACAACGCCGATGACTACGACTTTGCCGCGGCAGCCGGTGGGGGCAGCGGTGGCGGCTACGACGGCGGTGGCGGCGACGGCGGCGATGGCGATGGCGTATACGATGCCGCCGCAAACGGCGGTGACGGCAACGGCGGCGGCTACGACGATGGCAGCGCGGGCGCGGGCGCCGCCGGCGCCGGCCTCGGCGGCTTCGGCGCGGCTGGGAGCGCCGCGTTCGGCGGCGTGGCGCTGACAGGGGGCGTCCATACTGAGAGCGACCCAATGAGCTTGCCGCCGCACGGCACAGAGGTGTGTGGGGGGGCCACAGCTCGGCAGCGCTGGGGGTTACACGGAGCCTGGGCCCTGCGTCACGCATGAGGCGGCGCGCCTCTGCTGCACATGGCCTTGTGTTCCACCTTGGCTGTGGCCGCCGCGGGTGTGAGCGGGGCGCGTGCGGGCCGCCGCGTGGGATGGGTTCCCCGCAGCTCACACTCGAAGGTGTCGGCGACGCGTTGCGCGCGTGTTCGGACCTGCTCGATCTCTGGTGCCGTCACCGCCGGCGCGCGCAGGTGTTTGTGGCCAACCTGCCGCACGAAACCACCGAGGAGCAGATCCGGGAGTTCGTGGCCGGCGCGGTGACGGGCCTGCAGGTGCGCTGGCATGGGAGGCGGGAATGAGGGCTGTTTGGTGACTAAGCGCTCTTGTGGGCGGCAGGGGTCTGCGCAGCTGTAGGCTCGCGGCTGTAAGGCGGGAGCAACAGGCGTTGATGGGAACCTTGGAAGAGGGGGACGGCGGGCGAGCGCATGGCTCGCGTCGTGCGGGGTGCTTGGCGGCTCGATGCAACGCGCTCCTATTCTTGGAGGAATCGGGCCGGGCGCTCGGCCCCTGCGCAGGCGATAGCCACAGCCCTGTTTGCGGCACCCCATTACACGTGCGCCGGCCCCTTTATTTCCTGTCCTGGCCTGTATCCATGGTAATGCATCACACCCTGTGCCGCCCTACTCTATTGTATCCTGTCTGAACCCCTGCCACAGCTGCACTCAGTCCGTGTGCCCAGGGCCGGCTCAGACAGCCGCGGGGCCAAAAATAAGGGGTGAGGCGCGCCTCCCGCCGTCTGCGCCCCCATGTGCGGGCTCCTCCCGCATCCTTCAGCCTGCACCTGCGCCAAGACCTGGGCTCCTCTGCAGCGCTCTCGCTCTTATCATCAATCATGCTGCTTCTCAACATGTTTTACACCTGCTCGTGTCCCAGGCTTTTCGTGCCCCACTACCACATCGCCCACCAGCCTCCCATAAAACCGCTTTGCATTTGCCACAGCCGCGAACACAATGCAACCGACGTCGCCTGCCCATACTCCCCGCGCGTCTCAGGTTTGCCTTTGCGGTCTTTTACTCTAAGGAAGACGCAGAGGCGGGGGTGGAGCGCCTGAATGGCCGCAACATTGGCGGGCGCGCCACGCGGGTGCGTGTGTGTGTGTGTGAGCGGGGGGGGAAGGGGGGTTGTGAGGCTGCAAGCCGCCGGCTTGCATGGGCCAGGGGCAATGCAACGTTTGGGGCCTCCGGCCAGCTTATCGTGAGCCAGGCCGGGGGAAGGGGGGATTGAGGTGGAGCGCCTCGCATTTGGACGAGTGCGGCGAAGGAGTCTGTGTCGGCGACACCTGCCAGCCTCGCCTGAGCGCGCAGTGGCAGGTTCGACTGTCGTGGTTGTGGCGAGCATGATGGGTCCTCAAGCTTCCAGGCAGCGGCACCCCCTGCACAATCACAAACAGATTCACACTTGCGTGGTTGCACCCATGCACAATTTGGCATGCGTGCATGCATGCGCTCAAGCCCATTTAAAACACACTCTCCTCCCTGATTATGCACACACGCACACACACGCACACACACACACACACACACACACTCTGACACAACACACACACACACACACTCTGTGACACCACACACACACACACACACACACACACACACACACAACATAAACACACACTGACACAACACACACATGCATGCGCATGCGCGCGCACCCAGGCCTCCCTCAGCACCAGCAACAACCGCCTGTTCCTCGGCAACGTGCCGCGGGCCACAACGGCCCAGGAGCTGCGTCAGGCGCTGGAGCGGGAGGTCGTCGGTGAGCAGCTGCGGGGTAGCTGCGGGGTGGGCGAGGGCGGGCAGCAGGGCACCTGCGGGGCGGCTGCAGGGCAGGCTGCGGGCGAGAGCGACCTGAAGCATCCAACAACGCAGGCTGCCTGCAAAGCCCAAGTCAATTTCGAGCCTGCTCGTCATGATGAGTGTGCAGGTTGCGTACCCAACGCCCTCGCGGGGGCAGCCCCTTGAGGGTCTTGCTGCGGCCCCTAAACCCTGATCCCTCAACCCTGAACCATCAACCCCGCCTCAGGACTCGAGGATGTGGACCTGGTGTCAGATAAGGAGCACTCCGGCCAGAACCGCGGCTTTGGCTTCCTCACGTTCTACAACCACGCGGCCGCTGACAGGGCACGCAAGAAGCTGGAGCAGGGGTTCAGGTGGGGGCGCGGCGGCCTGCTGGTGGGGTTGCATATTCCATTGGCGTTGACTAGTGCGCAATGACACGTCTCGCCACTTCTTGACCTGGCCATGTGTGTGTGTGTGTCAAACCTGCATGCGCATAGTCTGATATCTGTGGACCTGCTCATTGCCCAACTCCGCAGCGTGGGCAACCGGGCGATCAATGTGTCGTGGGCGGAGATGAAGAACAAGCAGCAGGTTGGCTGGGGGCATGACTTTGGGGCCTTGCCCCACCTCGCCCTTGCCTCGCGGTCCGCGGCGGCGGCTGCGAGAAGGGTTGGGACAGTACGTGCGTGAAGGCCAGGGCTCGTCTCTCTCTTGTGGCGTCGAGACGCGCGCGCGAGGGCCGAGCCGTCGTCGGTGTCCCCGAGTCCCCCGCCGAATTTGCTTGGAAGTATGCAGCTCTCCGGCGAGCAACTCTTCCTCCTTGCGAGACGTTTCACGTGATGAGAGCACAATCTGCACGAGATCACCCCGTCGTTGATCCTGCCTAAATATCCTGGATATCCTCAAACAATCCTGGACTGGCAGGGGCCGGCCGACACTGGCGTAAAGGCGGTCTATGTGGGCGGCCTCCCGCAGGACGCCACCGCTGAGGCTCTGCGGGAGATCTTCTCGCAGCACGGGGAGGTGCGCCGCGCCGCCACGCCGCGTCACGGCCGCACTGCCGTGCCGCTCTGCTGCCGTCTTGCAACTGAGTGCATTCGGCTTTGGCGCGTGCCGCGTCCCCAGCCTCCTTCGGCGCTTCTGTTTTTGAGCCCGTCATGCGGGTTTGCCTGTCGTGGGTCGTGCGGCGTGAAACGCGTGCCAGGAGGCAGCTGCCTGTGGGCGTTCCAGCAGACCCAAAGCGTGTCACGCGCCAGCCCAGGAGCCCAACTGGCGGAGTGTCGCCGACCCCTCAGCCTCAGACGACCCTGCAGGGTTCCTCTGAGCTCAGCATTCGGGCTCGAAACGCAACCCCCAGCATACGACCATCGAAACGTAACCCCCAAAACGTAACCTCCGGGACGTGACCCCCCAAAGGTGGAGGAGGTGAACCTCCTGCCTGCGAGGGACGACCCCAACCGCATCAGAGACTACTGCTTCGTCCACTACAGGTGGGCCGCGCCCCCACACCCTACTAGCCTCGCCGGCTCCCGTGGGACGCACTTTCCCGCTGGCGGCACTTCCCCGTGGGACGCCTTGCCTTGCCCTGCGAATCTGCAGCGCCGCGGCCTCTAGCCGCTGGTTCGCGGGTCCCGCCGATAAATGCATTTCAGCACCATGGATGTGCTTGTGCCACGCGTGGCCCTTGAGCTTCTGTTAGGGCCCCAACACCCTGCGACAGAGCGGCCGCGCGTTGGCAGCGGAGCAAAATCCATTCCAGCTGGACAGCTGTGTCTCTCATTTGTCCAGCTGCGCCGGCCCCGCCGCGAGAGGTGCGCCCAGCTCTGACTGCACCGGGCCGCGGCGCCATTCCAAACTGCAGGGACAGAGCGGCGGCGCTCAGGGCGGCGGATGTCTACGTGAACACCAAGCCGGTTTTGGGCAGCAGCGAGCTGAATGTGCACATGGCAAAGCCGCCGAACCAGCAGCAACAGCAGCAGGGACAGGGGCAGGGACAGGGGCAGCAGCAGAAGCAGCAGCAGCAGCAACAGCAAAGACAACAGCAGCAGCAGGGGCAGTTCCAGCAGCAGCAACTATACCAGCAGCAGCTGCAGCAGGCGCAGCAGCGGCAGCAACAACAGCAGCGGCAGCAGCAGCAAGGGCAGGGCGGCTACGGGGGCGGCGGCGTCCGTGGCGGCGGCGGCGGCGGCGGCGGGGGCGGCGGGGTCAGTTATGGGTCTATTCGAACCCCCAGCGGCGTCGCGCTCAGCGGCGGCATGGGGTTGGGAATGGGCATGCCCCCAGC